CATATTCAATATTTTGTTCAAAATAATGTTTGGCATGCTAGGCTAGGCCATCTTAGTCAAGATATCCTAGATAAGGTCACTAAATCTTGTAATCTTCCCAAAAATAATGCCACATCTTGTTGCCAAGCATGCTTAAAAGCTAAATATCATCGTTTACCATTTTCTCTTTCTCAACAACGTGCTTCTCAACTTTTTGAACTTGTTCACACTGATCTTTGGGGTCCAACTCCTATATAATCTGTCAACGGTTTTAGATATTTTCTTATCTTTGTAGATGATTTTTCTCGCTTTACTTGGATCTATTTTCTTCATACAAAGAGTCAAACCTTTTCTCTTTTTAAAACCTTTCTATCTATGGTCAACACTCAATACTCAGCATCCATTAAAAGAATTCGTTATGATTGGGGAGGTGAATTTCGTCCTTTGCACTCACTTCTCTCTTCTCTTGGTATTCATCATGAAATTTCTTGTCCTTACACTCCTCAACAAAATGGCCGAGTTGAACGTAAAAATCGTCATATTGTTGAAGTTGGTCTTTCTCTTTTATTTCATGCTGATGTTCCTACTTCTTTTTGGCCTTATACATTTTATGAGGCAATTACTGTCATAAATCATTTACCTTTTCGTCCTCTCCAATATTGTGTACCTATTGCACTTCTTCATAATAAGCCCCCATCTTATTCTTCATTTCGAATATTTGGATGTTCTTGTTTTCCTCTCCTTAAACCTTATCATTCTCATAAGTTTTAACCTAAAACTATGCCATGTGTTTATTTAGGACATAGTGCTCATCATTGGGGATATATCTATTTTGACAAAGTTTCTGGCAAGACTTTTGAATCTCGCGATGTTATTTTTGATGAGACATCTTTTCCTTTCCAAACCACTTCACCTTCTTCTTTCTCCTCTCAACCCACTTGGTTTATTCCTTCATCATTTATTTCTACTTTTCCTAATACTCTTTTTTCTTCACCAAATAAAGATTCATCTTCCTCATCCTCTTCTTCTCCTATCTTACAATGTCCCACTACACATGATAATACATTGGCTTCCATACATTTAGATATACAAGATGTTTCAACTACTACTATCAATAAACACTATATGGTTACACGATCTAAATCTTGCATTTCTAAACCTAAAGTTTATCATGCTATTCATGTGGAATCATCTAATGTTATAGAAGCTAAAAATCATCCTCAATGGCTAGATGCTATGCATAATGAGTTACAGGCACTACACAAAAATCACACTTGGGATCTTGTTCCTCGGGTTTCTTCTCAAAAAGTAATTGGTTGCAAATGAGTTTTCAAAGTCAAATTAAAGTCTGATGGCTCTTTAGAAAGATGCAAAGCCAGACTTGTTGCCAAAAGCTTTCACAAAACACCGGGCATTGACTATACTGAGACATTTAGTCTTGTTGTTAAACCAACAACAGTATGTATAATTCTATCTCTAGCTCACTCTCGTGGATGGTCTATTAAGCAATTGGATGTTCATAATGCATTTCTTAATGGAGATCTTACTGAAACTGTTTATATGTCCCAACCTCTTGGTTTTGAAGATCCCAAACTTCCGACGCATGTTTGCAAACTTAAAAAAGCTCTTTATGGGCTTAAACAGAGTCCAAGGGCTTGGTATACAAAATTGAGCAATTGTCTACTATCTTGGGGCTTTCTCAATTCTAAGTCTGATTCATCTATGTTCTTTTGACGTCATTCTGGGCATCTCACTATTATTTTTGTATATGTGGATGATATTCTTATTACAGGCTCGGATGCTACTTTTATCACACAACTTATGACTCAGCTCAATAATTTTTACTCTTTTGAAGATTTAAAAGAAGTTTCTTATTTCTTGGGAATTCAGATTTCCAGAACAGACACATCTATGCATTTTTGTCAAGAAAAATATATCAAGGATCTTCTCCATAAAGCTGGAATGACTAACTGTACTACACCTATGGCTTCTAATGTTCAATTATCATTATATGATGGTGAACTACTCCAAGATCCTACTTTTTATTGAAGTATTGTTGGTGCTTTACAGTATTGTACTATTACCAGGCCAGATATTTGTTTTGCTATTAATAAGGCTTGCCAGTTCTTACATGCCCCAACTACTGCTCATTTTCAAGCTGTTAAAAGAATACTCAGATATTTTCAAGGCACTACAACTTTTGGCATTACATTTTCTATTGATCCTATTATGTCTCTCACTACCTACTCTGATGCTGATTGGGCAAGCTGTCCAAGATGATCGAAAAAGCACAAGTGGCTACTGTATTTTTTGGGTACTAATCTAGTTTCTTGGTCATCTGCTAAACAAAAAATAGTTTCCCGTTCTAGCACTGAATCTGAATATCAAGCTGTTGCCAATGCTACTGTTGAACTTACTTGGATTGAGTCCGTCTTAAAGGAACTACATCTTTCTTATACTTTACCTCCTTCAATTTATTGTGATAATCTAAGTACTATTCACTTAACAGTTAATCCAGTTTTTCATGCTCGGACTAAACATGTGGAGATCGACTATCATTTTATCTGAGATAAAGTTACCCAAAGTCTTCTCCATATTCAACATATTTCATCTACTAAGCAGTTAGCTGATCCTCTTACTAAAGTCGTTTCCACTCAAGCATTCTTACAGTATCGCAACAAGCTCACAGTTCTTTATTGCCCTGTTCACTTGAGGGGGGATGATAGAACAAAAAATAGAAGCAGTTAATGGTAGTTGGCAGTTAGTCTTTAGTTGGTTAGGCCTAACAATCTACAGTTGTAACCTTGTAACTGATTACCTCTCTATGTCTATAAATAGAGAGGAATGTACCTGATTGAGATATGGAAGTGTATAATCAAAATCATTCTTCTCTTAAACTTCTTCAGTGACTACCAATTGAAGTTTGAATTTGTAAAACCCCGAATTGTAGAGGAAATTAAATAAATTAAAAGGTTAATGGTGTTAATTAAAAGGAATGAGAAATTATGGTTCAATTGAAAATTTTAGAGGCTAAATTGTAGGAATGAGAAATTATGGGTTCAACTGAAAATTTTAGAGGCTAAATTGTATAAAATAACAATTGAAGGGTCTAAATAAAAATAGTAAAACTGGTCAGCAAACAAATTGCATGAGACCCAAAGCCTGGGGACTGAAGTGCAAAGTCAGGAAATTTAACCAGTAACCATTTGAACGTTCCAAAACTACAAATTTAAAACTGTTAAATCCGAATTAATGCAAACGTTGTTGATAAAATTCTTTTTAAAATCTTGTGCCAACCAATGAGACGAGTAAAAGACCTTGAGAAATTTCTAAAAATTTTACTTTTGAATCGATCAATTTTGGGCGCGGTTCTTTGTTCGGGCTATCCGTTCGTCATTTGAAATTCTTCAAGCTTAAACTCGGCCAAATAGCTGATTAAAAGTTGAATTGGAAGAGCCATCTGAGTCGGCTAGTTGTTCCGAGGGTGGATTTACAGATAAATCGAGGAGTTTTGAGGTTTTTTTTAAAAATGTTTTGCTGGAAAGTTAAATTGGGGGTTACAGTGATCCGGGTCAGAAAGATGACTTGGATGGCTGATTCGGGTTCCATAGGACCCAGTTAATTGAACTAGGCTTGGGATTTTGCGGATGGGCTACGGTCTAGGCTAATTAATTTGTTGGTGGGTCGGTCCAGCAACAGCTGTACTGCATTTTGTTTGGGTCATGGCCAAAGTGGGCCATGCCATGAAAAAGTGGGCTTAGTCTTGTTACTTGGGCTTTTTTTAGGCTGAGCCATGGGCCAAATTGGGGCGGGCCCTGGTTGTTGGGGCACAGCTAGTGACCCAAGTGAACATGGCTAGAAAAAAATAATAATAATAAAAACAAAATATTATTTTTGGGCCATGGCTAATGAGTCAAGCCCGAAGTAGGCTTAAGCTTTCCAGATATTGGGTTTCCGGGTTTGCAGCAGGATCCAAATATGAGATTCGGATCTATATATCAAAAAATAATTAAATAATATAAAAATTAACAGAAAACAGATAAAGATGAGGAAAAAAATAGAAGAAAAAATAAAAAAATCGAAAAAAATCATGAAAAATAAGAAATAATATTTATATGATTTTTAGAAAATCTTGGATGAAAAACCATGGAAATAATAATTCTAAATTTCCAAATAATGGTAAAAAAATAAAAGAAAAAAACATAGAAAATGGAGAAAAATTAAAGGAAGACATAGAAAAATGGGAAAAAAATTCAAGAGTGAAAATTAGAGGATATTAGGGTCAGTTCAAGATTTTAATACATGAGATGTAGTTTATTTGATCGGTTCGGGATTTTAAAATTTTGATATAGGTTTGAACACAAAAACAACCTACAAACGCATTCGAGTTTTGAAGAAGAATTTAGTTTTAAGTTAATTTTGAGATATATTATTCTAAAAAAAATTTTAATTATTTCTAAATCAATTATTTGACTCTCAATCAGCCATATCAATGACACTTGAAATTTATGATTCATCCTTACAGTGAGTAGTAATATGTATTTATATATTTTATTATTTTTATATTTGCTAAATGTTCAATTTTCACATGAATAGTTTTATAGGTTCATTTATTTCGAAATTGGAATTTAACATGTTATACAAGCTTACCAGAGACGTATGGAATTTTCTAATTTGTTTAAAAAGGCCCTGAACTATTGATTCTAATTTTTGATATGTTAAACATTGAAAATTTATAAACTAATTTTTGTTGCTGTGATGTTGAACAAGTTGAAAAAAAAATGTAAATTATTTTTAGTAAAATTTGGAAAAAAAATGTTTTAAGAAAGTATCGAACGATTAAAATACTGTAATTTACGGTAGTAGGCGTTAGACTGGATACACTTCATCGTATCCCCGACTAATAGGGGTAATGCTAAATTATCACGTAAAACTAGCATCTTTGGCTTGTTTATTCATTTTTTTTCCTTTTCTTTTTTTTAAATAAATCATTATTCTCACTGTACAGTCAAAATTTCTCACTATCTGAGAGGCTCGAGCATGAGAGGCAGCCCGTGACTAGGCCTCAGAGAGAGCAAGTAAGATGGACGATGGCGGTACTCTGGGGATATAGAGAATGAGAATCTGCTCAGAATCAGAGTAAGCACGATCTTGTACTCAATCATGGATAAATTTCTGCCAACACACATCCTTCCTCCGAACCCGAACGGCAGGAAACCCATCTTGTGCTTGCACCCTCCGTAAAGGTCGTCGGAGAACCTCTCGGCCGGAATTCGTTGACGTCGTCTCCCCAGAGAGAGTGGTCGTGGTGCATGGCCACTACATCAAATCCCACATTGGTACCTTTAGGAACCGTCGCCTCGCCCACCCCGATGTCTTCTCTTGCCTGCCTCTGCACGTTCGGTGCCGGCGAGTATAGCCGGAGAACCTCGTTCATCACCCACCCCATCTGCATTTCAAATTGCACACTTTAAAAAATAACCAACGACAACGACAGCAATAATAACAATATGGGACGTTTGACTCGTGTACAAAGGTTGACCAGTTCGCCCCTTCTGGTTTTGGCCGTGCATCCCCGCCGATGTAGGTACGTTAGAGCGTATGTTTCTGTCGAAACAACATTTAGGACGGTGGTCTGGTCCGTGCAATCAAAATAACGTGATTTTTGTTTTTTAAATGGTAAAACGAAAAGGGTAAAATGTTTTATGTATTTTCCTCTGGATTTTACACTTTATATTTAAGTTTAAAAATTTTAAGCAAAAGTTGCCTTAAGATTTGTGGCTTTAGTGCTTGAAAGTACAAAAAAAAAAAAAAATTGAAATCTTTCTATTCAACTTCTTTTCTTTTTTTTTTTTAACTTGAAAATTGACTAAGACTACATATATTGAATTCCAAAATTACCTTCTAATATTAAAGGCTCTACAGTTGTTTTAAAAGTAAACAATTTTCAAAAAAAAAAAATCCAAAATTTAAAAGTCAAAATTACCCTCGACCGTTTCCAGAAGTAAAAGAAATAAGTTCTTTGCTCTTAGGAGTTGTGATTTCTTTTTAAATTCAAAATTACCAAAGAAGCCAGGTGCGACCTCTTTCCAAACAAAGGGAATTGGGGCACTCCTGTTTGTTTGAAAATTGGTCAAGGCCACCTGGGGGAGCAAATTGAAAAACTGCCAAGGTGAAACTACCTCATGTCATGTTAGACATCTTCACTAGGGGTGTTCACGGATTCGGTTCGGTTCGGTTCGATTTTGGACTTAAATTAAACCGAACTGAACATGTTAGTTTGGTTTTCCTTGAACATAATCGGTTTTTTT